TTTCTCTCTCTCTCTCTCTCTCTCTCTCCCCCCTGATGGTTCTGTTATTTATATGCCAGGGATGGCAACAGCTTCCGTCCAGGCCTGCAAGAATGTTTCAGTCAGTGACGTCACACATGAGATTGCGAGTGGCCACAGTGGAACAAGCGATTAGCGGAGTAATGATACAGCTCTCCAGCGAAGCAGCTTGTGATTGATCGAGACCCGAGCGGTCCCAGGATCGGGACAACAAATAAACAGACACACTAAATAATTATCTTTGAAACCAATTGGCAGAGTCACCATGAGCATAGATGTAATATCATACCGAACTCCCAGAAACAGTAAAGGGCTGAGATCTTACACTTTCTCGCACATGATTTACCATCACATCGGATTACGTTATTTGCTGAATATAAAAATCCTAAAGTATAAGTCTCTCTCTCTCTCTCTCTCTCTCTCTCTCTCTCTCTCTCTCTCTCTCTCTCTCGCTCTCTCTCTCTCTCTCTTTCTCTCTCTCTCTCTCTTCAGGTCATGTTATTCATATGCCGGGGATGGCAACGGTTTCCCGTCCAGTCCTGCAAAAATGTTTCGGACGGTGACGTCACACATGACGTTGCGAGTGGCCACAGTGGCACTAGCGATGTGTGGTGTAATGATACAGTTCTGTAGCGACAACAGCTTGTGATTGGTCGGAAGCGGTTCTGGGACTGTGACGTCAAGCCCCGCCGCTGCGATTTGATTGGTCGTGAGAGCGTCATAGAGGGCGTCTTGGTTCACGACGCTACCGCGGCAAACGTTGACGAACACGGCGTTATTCTTCATCTTCCTAAAGGCATCAGCGTCGAATATACCAGCAGAAGATTCTGAAGCCGAGCAAGTGGCGATTACGACGTCAGACAGAGCTAGGAGGTCTTCAAAACTCACCAGCTCCAGACTTAGACTTGAATCGTTTGGATTGGGCTTGATATCGTTGTACACGATCCTCGCCGGCTCGAACGCTTGGAGTCTGCGCGCTGTGGCGAGCCCAATTCTGCCAAGACCAACGATTCCGATGACCGACCCTGAGATTTGCTGACCAGACATCCAGAGACAGTGTTCCCATTTGGTACCCCACTCGCCGCTATAAGTAGACGCCTGAGCTGAGGACAAGCGCAAAAAGATTTTTTTTTGTTCTAAAAGGAATAAAGAAAGATTGCTAATTAAGTTTATCCGTTCTTATCGACAAAGTATAGATCATTTGGGAGGCAGACTGCTTTGACCCTACCTGTCAGAACCAATACAGTCTGAATGGACACACAATCCCAGCAGACAGACAGACATACTTGGTGGAACAGTTCTCCTTTTGTGAATCAAATTCATGTTTTCTGTGTGATACATGTATTTATACCGGGGGTTCCCTATATACTACATCAATTTACTTGAATCATTTACGAAAATACCGTCTACAAATACAATGTATTTCATTTTAAATAATTTTTTTTCGCCCTCGAAAATATTGGCATTCCATAGCTCTATGAACACATTACTTTTGTTAGTCATGTATTGCTGATTAGGCTCAGAAAAACTTTACTACAAGCACCTATACGGTTAATTGGGAGACACACAGTGTTGCAGCCTCTTGGGCTTACAAGATACTTTGTCTCAGTTTATTTCTGAAGGATACAACATCCACCACGAAGAAGTTGGGATGTAACCAGACGTTTTTTGCCTTTGTTCTTGTTAATGTTTTTTAAAAATTATTTGTTGTAAAATCTGGTCTTTGCAACGCAAACCATCTACAATTAGCTTTATCTAAGGTCTCCTATGACGGAAAATCATATACTGTATTTGTACCTAGTAGGCCTTTAATCTTCTACAAAACAAAACAAATACAATAATGTTATACTGATAGGCCTACCTTCCTTTAGTCGTCGGGCCGCTGCCAGGGTCAAGGTCACAGCCATCTCAGCCACAGCTTTTGTGGCAACCCCCGGAGTGTATCCGACCTTGACCCCACGTCGGCGGCACTCTTCAAGGTCAATGTGCTCTACTCCCACGGACATGGTGCTCACGACCTTCACCTGTGGACCTGCCCAAGTCGGACATAGATGGCAAAACGTTACGTTTTATTCCCCAAGATGTATTTGAAAGGGATTCGTTTTGTGTCTTTATAAATTAATAGTCTTTTATCAATAATTATTGACTTGTAGATGGCCAATACATATCTACCACTTTCTCTCCCTTTCCCCGTCTAAGCATAAACACACACACACACACACACACACACACAACACACGCACACACACACACACACACACACATAAACACACTAATGAACACTCACATACACCCGCGCACGCACACATGAAAGCCCTTACTTGACACCTTAAAAAATAAAACAAGTAAATAAGTGTGGTCACAGAAACGAAAAAAGAATGAAAACCCCCCCAAAACCAAACAAAACCCCCTCCCACCTAAAAAAAACCCTTCTTGTTATAACTTTGTATAATTTTTCATATATCATGAACAATTGAATCGATCAGAGGAACCATTACTGTTAATATGCAAACTTCAAGTACTGAAAATATTTCACCTTCTTGTTCGTTGTTAACTGTCCATCGAACAGACTATTATTAGATCTAGATTAGTTTTTTCCTACTCGAAAATGCAGGGGAATGGCGGAGAGCGGCACAAGTAAGCACTACTTTTTGTCCCCCACCCTCTCTCTCTCTCTCTCTCTCTCTCTCTCTCTCTCTCTCTCTCTCTCTCTCTCTCTCTCTCTCTCTCTCTCTCTCTCTGCCCCTTTCGTATCTTTGTGTATCTGTCCCTGTGACAAACCAATCGTTCGATGCTTAGCGCGATCGGAAGTTGTGTTCTTGGGAGTGACACTTTCCACAAATGTCCTGTTTGGCTCTGTCCTTTCGGAGATGGACATTTAACTCGGAGGTCCCCCTTCTCAAATAACCCAAATAGTGTTGATAGGGGGCGTTAAACAAATACGTTTTTCTATACGATCATTATTACATCGGTGTGCTTGCTGTCGCGCGAAGGAAACCTGAATTGGATTCCTGAGTGGTAGACATTGTTATCGAGTATCTTGGCCTTTTTTGCTGGGCTGGCTCTAACAGGCCAGGCCGGACCCGCCTCCTAAATGATCTAAATATGAGGCAGCGTAGTGAAATCAGGCTCTCGTCAAAATTATCAAAGTGAATACATTTGCATTTTTCCACAGGTCTGTGAATTTTTATCAAATTTTTGTTTTTTGGCTCAACACCTTTCATGCTCATAAAAGAATTAATTTCTGTTTTGATTTTTCTGAAAACGTTGATCAAAAGCACAAAAAATATACATTTTCTGTTACCACCGACTCTTAAGCTAAGGTAATGACTAATCTTTGGCGGCCATTTTCTCACTAATTTTACCTCTGAAAACAGGTAACCCCACATCCTTCATTCGCAAATATCTCGACTTTTATTCAAAATTAATGAATATTTCTTTCATCCAAATAAAGACAAGTGAAAAAACTTCAAGATGATCTACCAATAACTCTACTTGCCCAAAAATTGACGAGAGCCTGATTCCACCACGCTGCTTCACCAATTGTGTCGATGGGGGTGTAAAAACATCCATATTAAGGAGAAAAAAAAGTGGAAAAAAACCGTTTCGTTCCTGAAACATCAGACAAACCTGCAATGTCCAGAATCTCGGCGTTGACGGGCGTTGGAGGGTGTACCAGGAGAGCGTCCATCCCTCGTACGCCCTCCTTGTAGTCGTCCAAAGAGATCTCTTGCTCAGAGTCATGGAGAAAAACGTCACACGACTGTCTCAGACGCTCCAAGCCGGGCAGAGGGATCGGGTTACAGATGAAGACTTTCGGTAAATTGACATTTTTTCCACCGTCTGTGTCCATCTGAAACGTAACGTTTGTTTGGGTAATGAACACCCCCTTTCTCTCTAGCTCTTCAATGGTTGCACCATCGCCATTAACCCCAGCTCCCCAACCTGTATAGCATTTTACAACAATAGCTGTATCTCTCTCATTGCTAAGTCCGTTGGGGAAAGAAATCACCGTAAATAAATGAACGAATATATGAATGAATGAAGGAATAAATTAAAAAAAAGAATAGATACATTTTTTTAAAAAAAAGAAAGAAAGAACGGAAGAAAGAAAGGAGTAATCTCTCATTGCAATAATCTAATAAATTACCATACTTTATTATTATATATCATTTTTGTATTTATACACTTATATATCCACATAATTTATACTGTACATACTATTTCATGTCCATGATCTACCATTCAGCCATAGAAAGTGGGATAAATTTTGGTACGACAACATGGGCCGAAAACACAAGACAACAAGATAAAGAAAAATTAAATCGAGTAATACGGAAAGCATGTAAAATTTCAACATGTACATTCCCATACTTGGATGAATTGTACATATACAACTTGCACTAAAAAAAAAATAATTCCGTCTTTTTAGACAACAAACATCCCTTGTTCCCTCAAATAAAAACATCAGTCAGAAGTAAAAGACCTAGGCTTCTGATCTGTAACAAAGAAAGATATAGAGGGTCATTTTTTACCATCACCTAATCAAATGCTTCCATCTTAACCATCTTGTAAAAAAGTACACTTACGACCTTAGAGCATGCATCAAAATAACATTGAGTGTGTATCTAGCTTACGATTATTATTATTGTTTTTATCGCTGCTCATTTATATTATGCATGTGATTGTAAGCCTACGTGTGTGTGTGTGTGTGTGTGTGTGTGTGTGTGTGTGTTTGGTTTTTAAATTGAGGGGTGGTGGGGGTGGAGTGCGACATCTCACAACCAAAGAGCTCACGATCAACGAACTGTGCTATGGGCATATTCACGCCAAACGAACTATGACAGGTTGGGGGAGTGAGAGATACCGGATTGTCTTCTCCCTTCTCTCAGTCCGGTCCCCACTGGGGAAGGGAATGAGGGGAGAGTGGGAGAGTGGGAGAGAGAGACAGAGAGAGACAGAGAGAGACACAGAGAGACAGAGGCACGGAGGAGAGAGACAGACAGACGGACAGCTTGACTACCTGACGACAGTCCTCCTCTGTTCAGCCTTGACCATCAATATTTTCTATATATAGTGACACCAGCCATCCATGTCCAGGTGCTGTTATAGTCTTCTTATCTATCCTTGAGCACCCTCTCTCACACACTTTGCAATCCTCCACTTGAGGCTCCCCGTTGGTCCGGCTCATCCCCCACAGTGCTAGGTTCGGCAGTTAGTCAACTCTCCATTTTAGCCTTTGAGCACAGCAGGTTCCCCCCCCCTCCTCTCCAACCCGACAGTGACCTGTAAGGCGATTAACACCCGATATCCCCCACCAGATCGACTATATCATGATCAAGAAAAGATACAAAAACGGGATGCTCAATGTCAAAACGCGGCCAGGTGCAGACTGTTATAGTGACCATGTACCCGTAGTGGGAAAATTTAAAATCAGATTGAAAAAAACACACATGAGCAAGAAAAAGAATATGAAACTAAACATGGCCATACTACAATCAAACAAAGAAATGCAAGATAAATTCAGAATAACTGTACAAAACAAATTCGCTCCCTTAGAAGAAATACAAGACATAGAAAAACAATGGCAACTGCTTAAAACATCTATAAATGAGGCTGCAAAAGAAGTCCTACCAGAAAAGACAACAAAAGCAAAGAAGAAATGGATGACTGAAGAAATTCTTAATCTTATGGAGGAACGAAGAATAAACAAAAACAATTTGGAAAAATATATGAATCTTCATAAAGAAATCAGACACAAATGTAATCTAGCAAAAGAGACCTGGTTAAAAGAAGAATGTGAAGAAATGGAAAATCATTCCAATGCGAACTCAAAAGATCTACACAGAAAAATTAAAGAGGTGTGCCATACAAGAACACGTGGATCAACAGGATGCCTCAAATCAAAGGATGGGAATATCATAATGGACAGAGACAAGATACTAGAACGTTGGACGGAATATATCGGTGACCTGTACAATGACAAAAGAGATGAACAAAGAAGAGTGGAAAATAACAACGAGGGACCACCAATCATGAAAGAAGAAGTTGTCAAGGCACTACGAAAGATGAAGAATGGGAAAGCGGCAGGACCGGACAACATCACCACAGAGATGATTAAAGCTTTAGAAGACTTTGGAATCACCACACTGACAAAACTTCTTAACAACATATATGTCACTGGACATATTCCATCAGACTTGTCAAAATCTATCTTCATAGCTTTACCAAAGAAACCCAATGCAAACGAATGTGAAACACATCGTACCATCAGCCTCATGAGCCACATAACAAAAATATTACTCAGAATAATTATGATGAGAATAAGAAATAAAATTCTCCCAGAAATAGCCCAAGAACAATGTGGATTTATTGAAGGAAAAGGCACTGTAAATGCCATATATGTCATCAGAACAACAATAGAACGTGCCCTAGAAGTTCAGAAAGATCTTCATTTATGTTTTATAGACTACACCAAGGCATTCGACAAAATCAGGCACGACAAGATCATCGACATGCTGGAAGTTCTTAATATCGACGGGAAGGACTTACGGATGTACTGGGATCAAACAGCTGCAATGAGAATAGAAAACGACATCAGCGAATACATACAGATTAAAAGAGGAGTCAGACAAGGATGTGTACTTTCTCCAGACTTGTTCTCCCTGTATAGTGAAAATATCATGAGATACATAGAAGAAATGCCTGGTATCTCGATAGGGGGACATAATATAAACAATCTAAGATATGCAGATGACACAGTCCTAATAGCAGAAGATGAAAAACACCTGCAGAATCTATTAAATGTCATCGTACAAGAGAGTGACAACATGGGCTTAAACCTAAACATCAAGAAAACCGAAACGATGGTGATAAGCAGAAATACTCCAATCCCAACATGCAATATCAAAATCAATGATACCACCCTCAAGCAAGTACAACATTTTAGATATTTGGGGACCATTATATCATCAGATGGTAGATGTCACACCGAAATTAAAAGCCGCATTTGCCAAGCAAAAGCAACCTTCCACAAGATGAAACAGATACTAACAAACATCAATCTGTCACTGGAAATGAGGAAAAGAGTAATGAAAAGCTACATCGAGCCAATCCTATTATACGGGTGCGAAGCATGGACAATCAATAAACAGCTGGAAAAAACAATTGTTGCGGCAGAGTTGTGGTTCATGAGACGCATGCTACGTATCCCATGGACAGCTAGAAAAACAAATGAAGAAGTCCTGGTTGAAGCAAATTATAGAAAACAACTTATCACGAATATAAGAAAACGACAGGCAAATTTTTTCGGACACACAATGCGGAAAGAAGCATTAGAGAACATTGTAACAACAGGAAAGTTTGATGGAAAGAGAGGTAGAGGCAGACAGAGGGAAAAGATACTGGACAAGATGACAACATGGCTGGGAGCAGCAAGAACAACAGACACCATTGCTGCTTCGAAAGACAGATGGAAGTGGAGGTCCATGATCGCCCACGCCAGTCGGCAAGGCACCGGATGATGATGATCCTCCACCATCCATCCCCCGCCAATCTTTTACATATGTACACAGCTAAGACCACTGTGCTATGGGTTGCGTTCATCATGTCTTATCGCCACAGATCAATTAGAACTGACGATCGTCGGCTGTAAATGTTTGGCCATTTGTTAAAATTTGACACGCTCAGAGTTTATATGAAAAGATATGGTCTCATATCCGCCTATTGACATCATTCTTTCATGTTTATGTACATTTTTAGTATTTATTTGTGCTTACTTCCCCTTGTGATTGAATTGTTTACCTTGACGGGGAAAATGAAAAAGAATGTGAGGGAATGGGGGACGGAGGGTAGGTGTGTGTGTGTGTGTGTGTGTGTGTGTGTGTGTGTGTGTGTGTGTGTGTGTGTACACATGGTGAAACACCAAACCAATGTGCCAGGATCTGGACAATATAAATGTATCTTATCTTATCTTATCTTTTTATTTATCCATTCATCCATCCATCAATCCATCCATCCATCCATCCAGCCAGCTAGTCATTTATATGATATACATGTTATATTATACCATTATAACACAATTTACGAATGTGTATTCTTCTTTATTATACATAATGAAACGCACAAGTTTACACAGATTATGCAACCGTACAATTTACACACCAGTAGGAGGTGTGTGACGTCTTTCGATTTACAACACAGCCATTGACCTAGAGTTACACATCTCTAAACGGACATACTTACCCTTCATGCGTGATACTTACTTTAGTGTATAGTGTCTGCCTCTCGTTTTTCCTTGAGCATCCTCCACCGACTTGTCAGTAGACAGGGAACAATGTGGAGGGGTTATTTTGAGCTTCTTGTACTGTATTTCTATAAACGAAATGCTGCAAAGTTCCTGACGAAATGAAGATGTACTGCTGACTCGAAGAGAACTCTAACTCACCAAGAAGTTTCCACTGTCGGAAAGTACCTGTTACTCGTATCTGTACAAATCTACCACTTGGCTACTTTAAACCCATGCAGTGTTACACATAATTCTTTTTTCGATATAACACTCTTATCAAATAACAACAGGCAAACACCATCTGGCTGCGTCTCACAAGAGAGCACAGGAGCACATCATTGCTGGCTGCCTGCCAAAGCCTGCACACCGACCTGCTGCAGGTTTATAAGGGTCACGAACC